AGAGAGAGAGAGAGAGAGAGAGATATGAGGTGGTGGAGAGACAAAAAACACAAAGAGAGAGAAAAAAGACAGTGTATTATTTATGTCTACAGAACCAGGTAGTTCCTCACCTGTCGATGCAGGTCTGCCAAGATAATCCAAAGATTTCAGGGAAGCTGTCAGCTTTTTAACCGACAACCGACTGCGTGTTAAACTCCTGAAAAAAAAACCAACCCAAAAAACAATCAACATATGATCCTTTTGACACTGCGTTAACTGGGTATCTACAATCTACCTCAACAGTAGTTCTTCCTCATGTTGTCCTCAGACAAATACCTGGAATACCTGGAGGTGTCGTCTCTGAATGAGAGGATGACGTGTGATGACTCTCCACCCTTCACGGTCACGAGCTGCCGTGGCATGTTTTGCGTAGATATATGCCAAATGCAAAACTTACACCAGGGTCTGAGGTGTAGGGGATAGGCTTTCCACTGCGGTATACAGAAGCCGTAAGCTGGATTCCCGAGTAGGAAAGATTTTTTTTTTAAATTGAGCGTCTCCATCTATCAGCTGTGATGTTGTCTATGTCCCTGTGGTGGTTGGAGGGTGCCAACGGTAGATCCTACTTCCTTATTTTCCCTCTGTTGTTTCTATCTGTTTGTCTTACTTTTTTCCAGCACTAAATGACCATCATTGTGTCTATGTGCTTTTCTTTACTCAAACAACAACAACAACAAAATTCCTGGGAAAGCTCCTCTCAAATTTGCAAAGTGCATTCCCGTAGATTGATTTTCTTTCAAGAGTATTTAATACAGTTAACTTTGAGCAACAGAAGCACGTTGGCACAAACAAACACACAAACAAACAAACAAACAACAAAAGCTGTACCCTCTCAACCCGGATTTTCCTCCCTAACAGGCAATCCTGAAGCAACCTAATTCGGAGGTACCGCCTACTGCTTTGCTAAAAGTGGCGTTCATGCTACACAATCACTTTTCTTTTGTACTTACCTTAATTACCTGGATTGTGTCATGACGGCGAAAGAACAAGTACAATCACTGTCAATCACAATTTTTTCCTTCAAAAGTCACGCTGTGTTTGGGAGTTTCCTTAGCTCCATCAGTATCATGCTGGAGTACAGACCGAACGGCCCTGGTTCGAATCTCTCACTGGGTATTCTTTAACTCTTGTCGTTAAGTGGAGTTTTCAAGGATTTCAACCCATATGGCTCAGTCCTATCGAAGGTGGAAATTAAATTCGGAGGCCCCACCTCTTTAACAATCTAGCAGTGTTGAAAAACGTATTACAATTACAGTTGAACCTATTCTAACGGCCACCTGGGAAAGACAATCAAACACCTGTACAAACAACCCCTTCAACTTGAAAATAGAATGGCATCAGTTCCCCCCCCCCCCCACTGTTTTTTTTTCTTTCTCCATTATAATGGCACTGTCCAAAACATCCACATGTCTGAAACAACCACTTTTCTTCTCGACAATAGGTGGTTTAGTGTTGATAGGAGTGTTTAATTCATACACTTACTTATAACGGGTGGCCGTATTGGGCAAATTTCGACTGTACTTTTTCAGGTACTTGCCCTGTGTCTTGTGTGGAAGACTGCCGAAAACTGTTGTCCCTACCTCTTGCCCCCCAGCCCGCCCCCTCCAGCGCCCACAGACAGGTGCGAGGAGGACTTCTCCGGGCTGGAGTTAAAATAGCGTGGCCTGGCTACCTGTCCAAGACAATCAATCGCCTGTACCAACGACCACTTCTTATAATAACTGTCCAAAACGACCACCTGTCTGAGACAACCACTTTTCTCCTTGGCAATGGATGGTGACCGTCTTGGTCGACAAAACTTTTTGCTGACAAATTATGGAGATATTGGCCAAAAATCGACATGAGGGTCAAATGTGTAGATTTTCTGTTGATGCCATATTCTTTAAGTATAACATACCTTTTATTATTTCATACTTATAGCTTGTAGAAACTTCACCTATAAGCGTGATGTATCTATTTCCATACGGCTTGAATCCGAGAAGTAACTCAATTTGTCAGTACGCTTCACTATAACCAAACCGTGTTGTGTTGTAAGTGCCGTAAAACTCTAACTTTTACAAAATTAAACAAAACAGTACTTACCCTGTGCTTGGCGTGGGAGACTGCCTAAAGCTGCTGTCCCCGCCCCCAGCCCCGCCCCCTCCGGCCCCGCCCACAGACAGGTGGGAGAAGGACTCTCCTGCGCTGGAGTTGACGTAGCGAGGCCAGGCCTGCTCCAACTGGTCAAGGATCTCCTGTAGCTCCGCGGACCGGGCCCGGTGAGGAGAGGCGTCGCCCGTGCCGAAACCACGACCGCTACAAAGAGAGAAAAAACAACAAAATATCACAGTTGGAAGTTATTCGTTAAAAAAAAATAATGTAGGTATTTTTTTCGCCCCATCGATACAATTAGGTCACATAGGAAGTGGGCTTCTGACCCTGCCTGTTAGAGACGACCAGGGCTGAGAGGGACCCAGAAGAAAGAATGGGATACTTCACAGAAACTGTCTCCCCATTCGGGAATCGAACCCAGGTCTCCTGCATGCGACATCGAAGCGCCTAACCGCTACACCACAGACGTGGGAATGGAGTTCATTAGAGTTCGGTTAACAATATTACTACAGTTGAACCTTCTCTAACAACCATCTGTCAAAGGTAATCATTTGTACAAACGACTACTTTCCGGTTCCCCATTGCATTTCCTTCTATATTATAATAACACTGTCAAAGGGGACCACCCCTCTAATATGACCAGCTGGTCAAGGATCTCCTGTAGCTCGGCGGACCGCGCCCGGTGAGGAGAGGCGTCGCCCGCGCCGAAACCACAACCGCTACAGGCAGGAGGAGAAAACACAAAAATATACCGTAGTTGGAGTTTGTTTAAGCATCGTCATCGTCATCGTCGTCGTCATCATCATCATCATTGTCATCGTCATCATCATCATCATCATCATCATTTACGAATTTTACGGCACGTGCAACACAATAAGGTCATATAAGTGCCGACGGTTAGGGGGTTGCTATAAAGTAACAAACACAAAAAAGACGGAGGAGAGATTAGGGCGGTAGATGTTTGGTAGGAAAGAAGGAGCAAACCACACAAGAGCACCCGCCAACCACCCAAGTCACTCTCTTTCTCACCCTACCAGGGTGAAGACCATTCGCAAAACTCACACTGGAGCCTGAGGTGTAACGCTTATACGGGGTGCCCACTACGGCTGAGATCGGCCGATCGGGCCGATCACCCGACTCGATCGCCTCAAAAGCAAACGTGTTTGTTTTCAGTTTCAGGCGATCGAGTCGGGCGATTGGCCCGACCCAGCCGTAGTGGGCACCCCGTATGTCGAATACAGAAGCCGTAGAGGCGATTCCCAAGGAGGA